CGGTTTCGGTTTTGAAAAACGAAACGGTTTTAAACGGTTACGGTTTCCGTTTGGGTTTCGGTTTCATTCCTTGCTTTTAATGTCCTGTATTTTTCCCGTAATCGGGTTTCAGTATTTCGTCGCCTTAAAAGCTCATTAAAATGGCATGCCTATGAACCAGTTTTGAATGATGTTGGAATATGATCGTAACTTTCTCCATAACCAGTTAATATTTTCTAATCTGAATGCCTGTGCTTGGAATAGATGAACAGATACAGCGACCAAAAGATAAATTAGGATTCTACATTTTAGCAAGATTCGGCTATTTTTCTTTTGTCTATTTAATGTTTATTTTTTGTTTTAAGTAAAGCTCTTTTCCTAACAAAAACCATATAAATCCAAATTTCCGACTTCTGCAAAAACTATGAGAATTAGTTCTGCAAATTTTCACCAAAATTTCAAACTTTTTAATCAGAACCTTTAGAAAAAAATGTGCTTGCAGTTTTGTAGCTTATTAAAATTGATTATAATAAGGTGCAAGTACAACGTGCTGCTCATTTGCTTCACTTTCAACAAATTGTCGAACATACTAACTTTGTAGGAAAAAAATGCATAGCACCGTCGACAAAGAAAAAAAAGACAAAAATTAACGGTAAGTCCTAGCTACTTAAAACTTGCACTTTATCGTACTAAAATTTAAAGAAACATTTATAAAAAATTTTGTCGAGTAAAAATCTCGAGAAAGATATCCTACAAATTTGTGATGTTACTTAGGGAGGCTGTTTCAAGGCTAATACATACATCTAAGATCATTTAAGAGGGTGTTGTTAGCTTTTATGGAAAAAATTGGCAAAAATATTTTTTGTCCCGTATTCGGCTCGCATAAATATGGTCACCGTATGTATGACATTGTCATATCAATTTCCTATTAGCCCGATCACCTTAGATTTTTTCAACGGAACAATTCCAGGAAGAAACTTTTTGACGCAATTAGGTGTCTCCTGTTTAGGTCAACACAAACTGAAAATTTTTCATACATAGATACATACAGCACATAAGTATGTACATATACATACGCCAACAAATGTCATATTAACATTAAAAATAATCAAAACAACAGGTTTCACGTTAAATTGATATGAAAACTGTTAAATTGATATTGTCATGTATGACATTGTCATATCCATTTCCTATGTTAAAATTCCACGTTGCTACTCTTGTACGTGCGTGCAAATAATTCTCACTTAAAAACGCTGGCTCCATTAAAATTCGCATACAATTTTTTTTACACGTTTTAAAGTGCGAACAGTGAGGGGAATAATTCAGGAGGTTAAGTTTACATTGAAATAAAAGTGAAAATGACCGATAACTGCTTAATATTTGGCGAAAATGCGTCGCTGGTTGAGAATGGCGCAGGGCAGCATATCTTTCTGGAAGCAACGCCTGCATTAATCGGTCAAAGTGAAGGAATTCTAACGCAAGTTACTCAGTGTGTGTCATTATGTGGAAATTTACAACAGGTATGAACAGATTTTTTTATATAATAGGCGTGTTTGACATACATACATACATAAGTAAATGGAAACTGTTGCTTCTACACCTCAAACGTATGTACATATATGTATGTACCCTGCAGTGAAACCCCAAACTAGTCAGGAAAAATAACGGGTGATTTTTTAAGAGCTTGATAACTTTTTTTTTAA